CTTCCTTTCTTTCTTTCTTTCTTTCTTTCTTTCTTTCTTTCTTTCTTTCTTTCTTTCTTTCTGTTACATGTCCTGGGTTCTCCCTCTGAAGCTCTCAGATAATATTTCTGTAACCCTGGGCATTTGCCAAGGTCTGCCAGGATAATAACCACCTTTTGGCTCACCTTGTACGCTGATGCATTGGCAGTGGAAAATGGCTTAATTGCTTTGAAGGAACCCATGCCAAGTGCAACAACACAACCTAAAGCTGATCTTCGAAAAGGTGCAGATGGCCTGTTTCGCAAGCCTTTAGGCTTGGGGTGGGGGTCAGTTCATGCCTGTAAACAGACCTCCTAGAACATTCCAGAAATTTTCAAGGTAGCTTTTGGACTAAGCATGTTCCTTGCCCAGTTTATAGAATGACTAGCAAATAAAGTGATTCTGTTCCTTTCTGTTAGTTTGTTCTATCTGGCATTTGTTTTTCCCCCCTCCTAGATTTTAAACATAGAGCTCAATAGTTTTGCTCTCTAGTGGCTAGCAGCAAAGGTGAAGAACTTTCTTCCTAAATCAAAAGGTGTGAAATACTTGTAGTTCACATTAAATTCAAGATTCTCCCTTTGAAACTACTACTTCCATATGGAATTCGGCCTGGTACAATGGCTAGTGCCTCACTGAGAGATGGAAAGGAGTAAACTTTATGGAAAGCTTGCCTTTGTTTTTTTTTCAAAAGGTGTCTTTTGTGGCACTACTTTTATGGTTTCTTCAGAAGACTTGGCAAAGATTGGCTCTTCCTCCAGGCACTGGGGCCAGGATGTTAATGTCACACTAGCATGGGTGGGTGTGAAATCTTGGGAACAAGATTTTTATCGGGGCCTCAAATTTTCTTTGAAATGATTTCATTTTTGGCCACTACCCACTTTCCATGGGGTCAGATACTGTAAGTGGTCATAGGGAAAGAAAGAAAGAAAGAAAACAGAACAGAAAGGAAGGAAGGAAGAAAAAGAAAAGGAAGAAAGGAAGGAAAGAAAAAGATAAAAGGAAAAAAAGGAAAAAGGAAGGAAAAAAGAAAAAGGTGATACAAGTGAAGGAAAAAGAAAGGAAGGAAAGAAAGAAAGAAAAAGAAAGGAAAAAAAGGGAGGAGCATGCTTTGGGAAAATAACTTAATGCTATATGGCAAAACATGCATTGTGTCTTAACTTAGCATGCAAAATTGTACTGTTTGTAGAGGACTTATAATCCTACATATTTATTTACCCTGGACAGTTTACCTAAAACGAGCTTTCTAATCTAGATGTCTACTTAGAAATAAGCCCTATTGTTTAAAGCCAGCTTTTGTTGAGCCCAAATGGGTTAGTTTGCTTTTGGCTTTAATGCCCCGTGTGCCAATCCAACTGTGACAGTTTAGAAACATTCATTCTTGCTGTGAAAGATGCTTTTGTTGACTTATTCAACAAACCACCACTGAGCACAAGCACTGGAATCTAGTCCATGGCTATGCCCAGGCCAAACAAACAAAAAACAGGGTTTGAGATGTTACATAGTTGCTAAGTTGTAGTTTAAGATGTTTTTGACGACTCGGCCTATTGCAGCGCATATAGCTTGATAAGTGAACCTAGGCATGATCTTAAGTGAGCTAGGGCAAGTATATATAAAAGTGTGGCACTTAATTTTGTACGTGTAAAAAAGGATGCTGGAACTGGGAAAAATTACTTTTTAGTGCCCTCTGGAATCCGGGTAGCTATTCATCACCGTTATGTTTCTGTTTCATGAAATTTTAACCTTTTTCACTTGCTGTAGAGTCCTGCACCTTTGTATAAAGGTTATTATTTTTCTTGATGCCTTGTCTACCTTCTCTTGTTCTTTTTGCTTTTCCTACCCACCTTTTTTTATATAGTTTTCCTGGAAACGTAGGTGGTGGGGGGGAGAAATTTCTCAGTTCACCCAGGTTGACTTTTGGTATTGCCTGATCTGTGTGTTACGCATCCAGATGTGAATCACGTTCCTTCAACTTCCCCAATGAGTTCTTGTTTCATTCAGTGATAAGTTTTGGCCAATTCTGTATTTTATTTTATTTTTATTTATTTTCCTGGGACAAAGCACTGCTTACTTTCAAAAGGAAACAGCAGTTGAATTGGTAAAAGCATTCTGTGACGTCTTTATGAAAACGATAATTTCCAGGAAGTAAAAAAATAAAAATAATTAGGGTTTATTTACCCCCACCCCTAGTTTATGGTTTCTCAGTTGTGCAAGCTACAGAATTTTGATCTTTCATGTTCAGCTGTGAGCCTGAGACAAGACTTGGCTAGGCCCCAGTGAAATTCATGGGAATTAAATTACTCATGTTTGTGATGTGCACATTCTCCAGGATGGATGTGTCTTTAATAGCAATATTTCAGAAGAGTAGGTAGCAGGTATGTGGATATAATGCTCAAGTTATTCACGGTATTTCATCCTTCCTCAAACTAGACACTCCAAAGAGGCTGTGTGTTAACATTAAAAAAAAATATATTTTCTCTGACTACTTTTTATATCCTCCAATTTGAGAAGAGTGGTAATTGCTAGAAATACTGTGTTTCCACGAAAATACGACCTACCCCAAAAGTAAGTCCTAGCTTGATTTTCACATGTGCGCCCAATATAAGCCCTACCCCCAAAAAATAAGCCCTAATTATCCATGCACCACTCCAGAGTGCATGGGTAAAAATTAAGCTAGGGTGGGGATAGGGGGGTGAAACTGTCCTACTACTTACCTTCGGACAGGTACAGCCATGTCTCGCACTTCCTGACACCTGTCTTGCTGGCCCATTTCTTCTGGAGCTGGCAAGGCTTTTCTGAAGGCCTCTGTAGCCAATAAACAGCTCCAGATTGATCTGGAGCTCTGTTATCAGCTGCAGAGTCCTTCAGGAAAGCCTTGCTGGCTGCAGAAGAAGTTCCTGAAGGCCTCTGACAGCGAAATGGAGGCTGGGGATGACGCATGCAAGTGAGATGAGTCAGTGGATGACATCCCCCCCCCCCCCCCCCAAAAAAATAAGGCCTGGTACTTTTTTGTGGCAAAAAAAATATAAGATGGGGTCTCATTTTCAGGGAAACGGGTAGTTGTATCTTGTTTGAAACATTACACGCTCACCTAGCTTAAGTCCTTTAAATGATGCTCCTCACATTTTCTAAACTTTTTTCTTTCTGCATCTGGAATTGTGGCTTCTGGTCTTCGCTTGCTCCTTCCAGCTAGTTACCCTGGTTGACACTAAACAGATACTTTCTCTTCGCTTAGTTTATTTTTATATCCAGACAGACTTGGAGATATTGGAATAAAAGAACCTTTTATTCATCTAATGGCAAATCTAATTAACATGTAAAGTCTTGTCTTTTCATAAATCTGTCTTTCTTTTCTGGGTCAGAAATCAGCAATTTGTTGGATTCTCCATTGTTCAAAAAAAAAAAATCTGCTACAAAAAGAAAAAAAAGCAGGAATAGTAGGAATTCTAAGAAGAAAAGTAGGAAACAAAGTTGAAATAGGAAATATCTGAACCTGCTCTCTAGTCTTTCCTTCTAGACATTTTCAAGTTCAAAGAAAACAATTTTATTTAAGTTTATTAAGAGGTCTTCCTTTGGAAGCTCAGAGAACCAGGAATAGCTATCAAGAATTATAATCATTTAACAC